GTAAAGTGTTTAAACCATCTAAAAAATTGTCTAGACCTCGGTTAGGTGTTCTACGCACTATACATTGAATATTGTTAAATCCTAATACCCTGGAGTGCTTTTGTGAATTAGATTTTTAAACCCATAGACAATCTACTTTGGAGTAATGGTTTGAAGTTAATTATATATGTCTACAAATTTGACAGCAGTTATATGCACAACGAGAAGAAAAGAAACATTGAAAATGGTTGTGTTGTAGCGGTTAAAAAAGTGAATGGTAGTACTAACTAGCCAAGTCAATAGCATTTACTTCGTTTGATTTGTCCCCAAAAAAAAGAGGGCTAGTGTTCCAATTTAGCCATACAGCAAGCAAGCAGAAGAAAATTGTTATGGGTTACACTTCGACAATACTAGAAAGGCTAAGAAGTAAGAACAAATCTTTTTGATTACCTTTTCAATAATCGGTCTCAAGAGTCAACATATTTATTTGTTACATTGATTACATTTTGAATAGTGTACATAGATGTTTAATATCTCTCATCTAATTTTGGGACGTATTTGGTAACTTTCCTTATCAACTTGACAATTTTGGAAGGGAGACTAATTTCTCTGCTTTCCATATCATTAATAAGTTGAAAATCATGAAATATGGCAAAACTTAAGAAAATCAAGATTTCAAATTCTTGTTCTTTTTGTTTACAAAGAAACTAAAGAATCTTGCATTTTTTTTAAGAAAGAAAATCGTTTGAACAATGCAAAAGTTTGACCTTTGAACACTTCTATAACATAGACTAAACTTTTATATCTCCTTCCAATTTCATTTTACTATAATATCGCAATTAAACGCTAACAATCATTTCTACAGTATTTGTCCCTCGTGGTTTTTTTTCTACCAAATAAACAATTTGGCCAAAGCCTAATCTTCAGCTTATCCACTGCATTGGTTTACGCTTTATAATCCCAAAATAACTACCACTGGACTACCGACCCACGGATCATATTATCATATCTATTCCCAAAAATGAAATTTGTATTATAAACTTATTAGTATTTATTTGGTCATATAGACGAACCTTATCTATCTATATTTATAAAAGAGAAGTCACTTTGCTTATGTGTCGCAATGAAATCGATTTTAAGAGATCATTGATTTTACGAATGTATTTTTAATGAATTGATTTAATTACGTGTTCTGTCATTACGTAATTACAAAAAAAAAATTGATAATAAAAAACAGATTAACATTCGGTTGTTTTATGTTTGTTATCATGGCCCATATATCATGTACATCTACGAATTGGGCTTCATTTTAGATCGTTTTGTAAAATAGCATGTTTGTGATATAATCAAATTTTATTGCTAATCTTCCCTTATTATATGATATGATTTTTTTTATTCAGAATTCTATGTTAATATTCTATTATTATCTTCTTATCGTAATAGGAAATATGTATTAATTATTGAAACCCTAAATGTCTTCTGTCAATATATATAGATGTATAGGCTTTGTACCTCCCTCTATTATGGGTTTGGTTCTCTCAACTTTCATGCAAATAAGTTTCAGAAAAAAAAAAAAAGTTTCATACAAATTGATGATCATCTTTATTTTTTTCTTTTGTTCGTGTTCCCTTTTTTTAATATGTAAAATTTTGATGTTACTCATACATTCGTTCTGTCTAATGGCAACATATAAATTGTCATTGTTTTTAAGTTCTATAGGTGATAGGATCCAGAGCATTCGTCATGGAATCTGTCATGGAATCCGTCATGGAATCTGGTATATAAATTAATTAATTATGTATCGGTTGTTAAAAATTA